CATGCGTTCATAATTTAACTTTAGCACGGGTCACGTTTCTGCTCACAATTTAGAGATCAAAAGGTATAAAGAAGTTCCATGAGGTTGATATTTGGATTATTGTTTTTATTTTGGGGAAAAATGGAATTAAAAGAGAAGTTGTTATTGATACTCTAAAATATTCCTCATGCACTTCTTAATTATTTTTCCATTTGCTAATCACATTTTCATAAAAAGCTAATGATGTAAGGCGTCATAACTTCATAGTTATTTTTAAATTTTTAATAGGTATTGACCAAAGAATCACATATCTCAAATCAAATTGACTCTTATAGGATGATGGTCGCATACACAACGAGGGCCAATTTGACTATGACAGTGAATTTCATTTGCTAATCACATTTTCATAAAGAGCTAATGATGTAAGGCGTCATAACTTCATAGTTATTTTTAAATTTTTAATAGGTATTGACCAAAGAATCACATATCTCAAATCAAATTGACTCTTATAGGATGATGGTCGCATACACAATGAGGGTCAATTTGACTATGATGGTGAATTTGATTATGAGGGTCAATACGACACCGCATGTCAAGTGACCCTTTCAACTTTATGTTAATTCTTTTATTTTTATCGTCGGATAACCATTCAACTTATGTATGAGTTTAAGAATTTGAATTGCAGATAACCTCAATAGCGCATAGCTTTTGTCTCATTTTTTAACATCTTGTATTCATTTTCACCGGTCTCCGTACGGACATGGAAGGTGCCCATTGACAACTCAAGTCTAGATAAGATTTCTTTGTTAGATATTACATGGTTAAATTATTTAAACAAAAGTTTATTTAAATACTCATTAATATGTTGATTGGAACCAACATTTTTCTGAAAATTAATTTTCTATTAATATTATTAGTTTGTAATTAAGCAATTTGTTTGCATGGGTAATAAATTAATGAATGATTAAGAACTTGCATAAATTGATTGGTTAGTCATTGATTATAAATTTATGTCCTAATTAGTGAAGAAAATTAACGAATTAGTAGTTATCACAACTCTAAGTCTCTCCTCGTTTTTTGGTCAATAATCTTCAAAGATAGTATTGTTATTTCAAAGTCTTGTTTATAATAACATTTGGATTAAATTATAGTTTATTAAATAATAAATGCAAAGCTAACCAATACAAGTTATTTTAAATTAACACTGAAATTTGAACAAATAATATATAATAAATATTAGAATTTCTGACTCTGCATCCAAAGAACCTTTGACATATTTGGGATTTGCATGCAGCATGCATGACATATATTCGCTTGATTATTCTTTATTGCTAATCAGATTAAAACATCAATATTGCTAGTATGTAATTGAGCAATTTGTAGGATTAATCATTGATGGATTACCAAATCAATAAATATAACCAAGTGTTTGTGCGCGTTGAATGGTGATAGTATTATATGCTTTTGGATACTAATTAATTTATTAGTAATGTATGTAAGGAAATTGTAGCTCGTTAAAAGTATTTATCTCTACATCCGAGGTATGTGATCTTGTTTGGTTACTTTTATACTGTATCAAAGCATAAGATGGTTTTTTTTATAAATAAATAAAAAAAAGCACAAATATGCAAATTTTATGTTCTTGTTGTGATCCTTGTAAATTGAACGGTTTAGGTAGCACCTTGATGGAAATTCATTAAGAATTATAACGAAGATGTATAATAAAAATTATGAATTTGTTCTCTTTTTACTCTTGCTACTAAGTTGTTTGTTCAATTCAACTTGTAAAAGCATAAAGTGGGGCAATTGTATAGTTTTAGCATAACTGCAAACGAAAGATGCATTCAGATTCAGCCAATTCTCTCTCAAATTACTGCTAACAAAATTTCTTAAGGATATTTTGTTTTAGAAACTTCGAATTAAAACGATCTTCAGTTTTACCGAAATAATAAGAGTTTAGATTCTCGACCCGTGAAGAGAGAGATATAAAAACTTATACATACACGCTGTTACATGTAAATTTCTGAAAGTTTTACGTATTTGAGACCGTATTTCTTCTCCTGGGGCCCACACAAAGTCAAATATAGATAACATAAAAAAAGGCAAATGTAATTTGCCCTAAAAAAAGATGGATTGCAATTTGCATCCGTTGGCAGTTGGAACTTGGCTTTGGTTCGTTAAAAGGAAAGCCCAGGTCAGGCCCCACTCCCTCCATCCATCACGGCAAAAATCACGAGCGCCAAAAACAACGGCTGCGATTCCATCACGAGCAGAAGGAGAAAAAAGAAAACAATAGAATAATGAAGATGTTTTGGGTAGAACCAGAACATATCCAAAACAGAGGAAGAGAAGGTGTATAAATATAGCATATATTCCAATCATCTGTAAGCTGGTAATTGTGGGCATTTGGCTTTCCTTTGGTCCGCCAAGAATAACCAACTCCTAAAGATATCCCATTTTTAAACCCACCTTCCTCTTCCTCTCTCATTTTCCCCTCTGCGTTTTCGTTTCCCTTTCTTCTTCTTCTTCTTCTTCTTCTTCCCTCCCTGCACAACCAAATGTAGTGGAGTCTTTCCTCCTTTTTTCTTCAGAGGCCTTTCTTCTTCTGGTTTAGAGGGTCCCATACTGGATTTCATACTTGTAATTTGGGACACCCAGGAAGCCTAAACCATGTTGGTGGAAGGTAAGCTTATATTTCCCCTTTTTGAATTATGGTGCAAGGTGTTTGATATTTTTGCGGTCTTTCATTGTTATGTTGGTTGCTGAGAAAAATCAAGGAGATGAAGAGGAACATCAAAATGGGACCGTTATTTGAATGGGAAATTTTGTTATATTCAACCTGAAAAAATTAAGAAATAGGCACAAATTTTGTCTTTGTTTTTTCTTTTCCTCTGTTTTCTCATTTATGAGCAACAAAACCCAGAATTTTTCTTTTCTTTTCTTTTCTTAATGGTTTGGTGGTTTGGCAGAGACCATAGAAGAAACGAAAGGAAACCCAGAAATGGAATCACCAACGGGTCTGAGGAAGATGGAGCCGTGCGAGGACGAGCCATCACCGAGGGGGGTATTGGAAGTC